GTGTTTGCAAAAAAATTGGGAACCCGTGAAACACATTTGCCTGACAATGCAGGACCTAGTTCACCTGTGCCATCTAATAATCATGCCAACACGGAACCAGCTGGTGATTTGCCAGTGCCTGCGAGCGTAGACGCAAACTCCGAGCCACAGCGAGTCATGAGGGCAGCGACCGTTGCCAACAAGGCTTTCCGAGGTGGGAACCGAAGAGTTTCCAAATCGAACAACATCCGATGCAAGTGATTCCACGACCGCTCCCGAAGTGCCAAATGCCGAGAGACGGATCCCATACTGAAACAGCAAACACATCGCTTCCAGCAGCTTCTAACATGAAAACATGACAATTCTCCGAATGCAAAAGAATCTCGGACATTCGTCCAATGACGGATTGGCCAAGGCACTTCAAATTAGCGGTTATCGATCCGAAGTTGTTCAGGCTGCTCAGGAGATTCAGTGCCAGGTATGCGCAGCTAATGCACCCCCAAAGCATGCCCGCTCTTAAGCACATGCTAGACTTCAATCACAAAATCTATGTTGATGGGACAACCTGGACCAATAAAGCGGGTAAGAGTTACCACTTCTACCGTATTTTTGGATGCTGGCACCAATTATAACGTTGCCATCTCAGCTCCTTCCAAGACCACTGAGGACTTCATCCACATGATGACTCAACAGTGGATAAGCTGGGCAGGACCACCGGTAGTTGATTCTGACAACTTTGACACACATCTTTCACACACAACTTTGTCACACACCATCTTGCATACACACCATCTTTCATACACCCCATCTTTCACACACCAACTTTGTCACACACCATCTTTCACACACTAACTTTCACCATCTTTCACACACCACCTTTGTCACACACTATCTTTCACACACAACTTTGTCACACACCATCTTTGTCACACACCATCTTTGACTTCGTTTTGCGTGGCAAGCGTTGCACTTGGTGACATCCACCTTCGTTTCGCATGGCAGGCGTGGCACTTGGTGACATCGGCTCCTCCTCCTCCTCCTGCTCCTCCTCCTCCTCCTCGGGGGGCGGGCTGCCCATTCTTGTTATATGTATGTGCTCATCCATTGATCCACCTGATCTCTTAGTTGCAGGTGTCAGCTCCGAATCATCTGACGAATCCAACAGGGCTGGCATCCTCAGCACCCGCTCTTTGAATGCAACTGTGCCTGCACTGATCCCTCCGGTAAGCCAGACCACATATGCACCAGTTTTCTAGGTGCCCGCCAAACCAGCCCCACATGCGCGGAAAAACCGGCACCTGTACAATCATCGTTTACGGGAGGGTGGCGATGAGTCGAACATGATGTCCTGGATCCCTGTTGTAGAAATGCCCCCCGCAATCCACCAGGAATTGTGTAGGTAGTCCAAGAGCTCCCTCAAAGTGGAGATGCCCAGCAGCTCGGGGACTCTGCAGGCAAGGCGCTCGCGGCCATAGCCACAGCAAGAAGGAAACCAACCCCCTTCTAAATTCCAGGGGAATCCTTCCTGCCCACCTTGTAGCAAAATGGCCAGGCAACCACCTCCCTTTGCCCTTATTACTTTGTCCATCACAAACAAGTTTGTTCTACACAAATTAAACTAATGATGATAAACGGTCATAATCTAATTTGGCTTTTGGTTTTCCAAATTTTGAGGCCACTCAAGTCACACCCATGGCATGGCTACCGCCGCTGCCTGGCTGCATCGTATCGCTCATAGGCGAACTGCCTAGAAATTCGTGGCTGCGGTTATGTCTCAATGGGGAACCCTCCCATTTTCTTGAATTTGCAGGAAAACCGTATCAACCCACAATCAACAAATACAGCTGCTGATCTATCTCACATGGATGGATTTGGAATTTTTAGTCTTGTGCAAGTGGGAGCTGCCCACTGGAGCGGTTGGCATTCTGAAAGCTTTGCAGCCAGAAAGCAGCGGAAGAGCGCGAACAGAAACAGTGAAAAGGACATCCACCAAAACTTGGTTCTGATATAACCAATCGAAGGAAGTTTAGAAGTCAAGATAGATACAGAAGTAGATAGATGGACGGGAAGAAAGAAAGATAGGTAGAGAGAGTAGAGAGAGGGAGATAGCTAGTGCTGGACAGACAGACAGACAAACAAAGAGACAGACAGACAGTAGAGAGGAAGAGGGAGATAGAGATAGATAGAAAGAGCGAGGGATAGAGATCGAGAGAGATAAACAGATAGACCGGCAAGAGAGAGAGAGAGAGAGAGAGAGAGAGAGAAAGAGAAAGAGACACAGAGAGACACAGAGAGACACACAGAGAGACACACACAGAGAGACACACACAGAGAGACACAGAGAGACACAGAGAGACACAGAGAGACACAGAGAGACACAGAAAGAAAGAAAGAGAAAGACACAGAAAGAAAGACACAGAAAGAAAGAAAGACACAGAGAGACACAGAAAGAAAGAAAGACAGAAAGAAAGAAAGACAGAAAGAAAGAAAGACAGAAAGAAAGACAGAAAGAAAGACAGAAAGAAAGAAAGACAGAAAGAAAGAAAGACAGAAAGAAAGAAAGACAGAAAGAAAGAAGGAAAGACAGAAAGAAAGACAGAAAGAAAGACAGAAAGAAAGAAAGAAAGAAAAGGAAGGAAGAAAGAAAGAAAGAAAGAAAGAAAGACAGAGAGAGAGAGAGAAAAAGAGAGAGAGACTCGGAGCCTCAACCACCTTTCGGTCCATCAGTGGGTTCGCTCTGCCATCCATGCATCACAACAACTCGCCTCTCCTATAAGTTTCCTATCTTTGAAACTTCTGCCACCGCCTTGTACGGCACTACTGGTATGACCAGCAATTAAGGTCGATAGAAGTTCTGTCAATGAATCCCGTACGGGGCCGCTTGATCAGCCTCTCTCTAAATCATGAAGGAAAAGATTTGCAGCTACCTGAAACTAACAAAATCGAACCCAAGTAAAAAGCTAAGTAAGCCAAGAAACTAGAAATACAAAGTAAAAATATATCCACCCACCAGCTATGTGCCCATACCTTGCCAACCCTTCAGGTATATAAACATGTCCTTGCCCTATCAATATTTGTGTCGCAGTCCAGTCCAATCCTCTCCGCATTCTGGTCTTCTTTGCTACAAAATCACACTTGCTTTGTCATGCCACATCTGAACTTTCGGACATGACCGCTAGGCTGCAAGGATTCATTTTTATCCTTCCCTTAAGCCGGCTTCGCAGGTGGTAGCGCATCACACCAAATGTTTGTGGTGTTGTCAGCTGCCACAAATTTCTTCGTCCGTGAAAAGCAGCGACTTTTGCTGCACACGCCACGCCCGCCCAGCGGTGCGACCTCTGAGGCTCCCCTGCAGCCCAGTGCTGAAGGTGGATCTGATCTAAAATTGTCATGGGGTTCGTAGCGACATTTTTTTCACAAATGGAAGAGTGGTTCCAATATGTTCCAATGTCTCCGATTGGATTGCCTCATTAAAGGCAAACCTTCTCTGATGTGTCAGTGACTGAAGCGGTTGAGAAAATAATATTTGGGTTTTCCCTGGAAGCCAACTTCGACATCATGACTTCAGCCTGAAAGATATCGTAAGTTTGTCCCAAAAAATCTTCACGTTGCGCACCAAATGCACCACAAAATATAGACCTGTCTGCCTCGTGGCCTGTAACGGGCCGCGTGTCTTTTGCCAGCACAAGTGGATAGCTTCGTTGGGTGCAGTTTCCACTCTGCTCTGCACCCCCCTGCGAATAAATAGGATGATGTCAACGGAAGTTTCCTGTGAATAAACAAGACAATGAAAACAGAAGTTTACATCTTTTCAGATGTGTCACACACACACACACACGCTGTTTGGGGTCTCTTGCCGGTGCAATTTGACACCCTGTCAAATGGGCCCACGCTCCATGATATTCATGGACACAAGAGAGGACAGATTTGGGGATCACGCTGCAAACACCTGCATCCATACACTGCTTCGTCGATTCGTCTTCCGCTGTCCTTGTGGAAGCAACACCTCTTGAGGATAACGAAGCACAGAAAAGGATTTGGTTGTGGCAACACAATCCCATCAAACCACGGCAAGGGTTACTCAAAGGATTACTCTAAGTTTCTGCACGGGCATTCACAGCTGCGTATAGGTATGCGTTGCAATTTGCACATACCTATGATCTTTTGTTTTTATGAGATAGGCAGGAGATCATCGGCAGGAAGGGTTCAAACACAGAGACAGTTCGATGTTCATCTATTTTCGCACTTGGACACCTCCAGTTTCTAAGTCGAATTGCTTCATTGCTTTTGATTTGTTTTTGGCTCGCGGCTATTCAATTTCTGCCGGAAAGGGGCCATGTCCCACTTTCCAAAAAAGACTTGTGTAGCACTGCAACGTCAAGAAATTCCAACTTCTAATTTTCCACAAAGTGTTGTTGCTGATCCGCTACAGGCGTCAATTTCTAGCAACTGAAATCTAAATCTGATGCTCTCTCCAAACTACACCTCCAGCTGCCGGTCGCAGTTGCTGGGACAGGACGCTTCTTACACACATACCACGTTGCAAACTCTCGGGAAGTTGCAAATGGCTGCGATGCAGCGTTGGTACATCTTAATCTCTTGGGTTTCTTGGGTCTGGCAGTTGGCATTCATCGATGTACCCTTTAGCCAGTAGGCCTGGGGCTGCAAAGATTGATTTGATGCTGAAACGACATGGAAAGTAGCTGGCCAGGCCCAAGCTGTGCGCTAAATCAACACCTCGTTGGTGGGCCTGGTAAATCAACACCTCTTTGGTGGATTCCCCCTTGAAATACTACTGCACGGCCCTGAAGAAAATGGTTTCAGCGTGAGGCCCATGCACCCCCTTTTCAAAAACTTCGGCGCATAGATCTCAACGCTCAGCAAATCGTCCATGCAAATAAGAAAGCAGCCAATACCTCTGACTATTCAAACTGTTTCCATTGCGTATCAGTAACTTCAGACCTGCGACTAGATAAATCTCAGGTCCTCAACCGTTGAAGTCTGACCACAACCTTTACTGCAAACACTGGCTGCATATCTCTTTGCATGGAAAACTGCCAAGAAACTTCAGTTCTGCATTAAACAAACGATCAAACAGTTGGCCAAGCTGCCAAGCTGTTCTCACATCCATGACGAATTCAACACCTCGTCCTTCTGCGTTTCTTGTTGCCTGGGTCAAATCTCCGCCAATCGCATTTTGTACGGTCATGGCAGCCCAATACGAAAATAGATCTCTGGCGCAAATCATATCAGTATAGGAACTACCTGGACTTAATTTCGAACCCCCTGGCACCATGAGATTCCAATGAGGCAATCACATATTCATGTTGACAAAGGATGTCAAGTCGCCATTCCACAGTGATCTGGATGTTGGTCTCAATCCACCAAAAAACAAAAAGTGGCCATCATATTCTCAAGTACTCGCATGGCATGCGGGACATGTGCGACCTGCTGGTTTTTGGGGCCCGGGGTCAGTGCAAAACCAACGAACTCATGCTGACATTCCGTACACGCGACACCATCTGTGGGGAACAAAAAAAACAACCGCCCAACTTCTGCACTGACATTAATTTTGCCCGAGAAACTCCACCACGACATTGTTCGTCTCAGTTTCTTGTTGGATGTCCTTGATTTCAATGTCCTTCTTGGGAGCCAGCTCGGTTTCCCCCTTGCTGCTTCTCAGCGATTGCGGCTTCCTTTTCAGCATTGGGTCAAAGGAGGCCGAAGCAATTCGCCTCAGGTGTCAGCAACCCATCAACCGTCATCAACCTGACGCCTCAGTATGCCCATCGGCTTTCTAAGCCGATTTCTGAAGTCAATACGGAACAAAAAAGGATATCATCTCTGCTAGGGTCAAAACATGGGATGAAGCGCTTGTGATCATCCCATGCGTGGGAATACTCACATGATGGGTATATAAAACTCTATATTGACGGATTGATGACCATCCCCTATTTGCAATGTACCCTAAAGTTTTTACCATGGCACATCTGGTAATCAAACATGGCAATGGAAAACTCCCCATGTATATATGATTGTCCCAATAAAACCTCTACTTGAAAGGGGTAACCAAACAATATGTGCTAAATACTTTTCGGAAAAGGAATCTTGGCACAAAACTGTTCTCCGCCCGTACGAAATCCTCCGGAGAGTCCTCTAGAGGATTCCTACCTGCTTTCTTGCCAAGTGTTTTCCTGAGGTTAATTTCTATGATCAGGGTTTGTCTGAAATTAGAATACCCCAAAATCATGGTTTATGATAATTTTCTCCAGAAAAAGGGCCATAACTCTGGGGTGTACGGCATCCACCCCCATGTTCGGACCGACCCAAATCACAGGTAATTGCTGGTTGTATCCCTATGACGTCCCCAGTTATAAACATCGTGCCATTTTGGGACTGCCTGGCTCACTTGGCACTCTGCACCCGAGCTGCTTGTTGAACTTGAAGGAATACCCATGCTCAGCAGGCGGCGCAACCTGAAAAGGTGTCAAGACATGTAGGCCACCTCCGAGAAACATCCAAGTCACCAAGGGTTTCAATACTAAAATGATCTAATTTGGCTGTTAATTATGGGTACTCCCGTTTTAGCAACCTCCAAATGGCTTGAAAAACCCTTCAAAGCAAAGGTCCAAACAGAGCGGAAAAGCGAACGGATCCGGAACTGTTTGATTTGGCCCACTTTCGCTGAGACTTGCATATAGGCAGAGAGCTCATGTTTCACCATCCATGAACTGAGTTCGAAAGTTTTTCAAAAACGACACTGTCGCTGATTCTGACGAACCTGGTTGGGTCGTTTCGCTTGACAGGTGCTGCCCATCAAAGCCGGGTGAAATTCTTAGCCCACCCTACTCGTTGCCTCAGTCGCCAATAATGTGATGCAAGTAGTGACTTTTTTGATGTCGAAAGTCGCCAAGCCATTCAGCCTCAATTGTCGGAAGACCCACAGACATTCTTATCTCCGCGTTAGGTTCACAACCCATGTAGATATGTCCATCCATGTCCGAGATTCTACATCTCAATCTGGATCCGTGTCTGTGCCATCTCAGAAGTGACTCGTATTTCTTGGAACAGAAGCAATGTGCGCCTTCCCAGTGATCTCCTTATCAATCCAGATCCGCTTCAACTGGAAACCCAGCCCACGGCACATCCACAGCCCAGATCGCCAAAGGGCTTCTGGGACACATCTGCCACCTCCATCGTCTCGAGTTCCTTCACCATCTCCTGCCGTGTCCAACTTCGACTAACCAACCGATCATAGCGACTTGCGTTGGTCATCAATCGATTATCTAGATTCGCTTAGGGTGAGAACAGATTGCTCCATTCAATTCATACTACACATATTTACGCTAGCGGATCCTTTACCGGCCCACAAAACTGGGGTGAGGTGGGGTGGGGCAATAACGTTCACTTACTTGCGCACTTCTATGATGTGAGGCCACGGCACGTTCACTTGCACTTGCGCACATACGTCATGCTACGTTGAAGATGTCTTACGTCACGCATGGGGTGGGGTGGGGTGGGGTGAAGCAATAACGTTCACTTACTTGCGCACTTCTATGATGTGAGGCCACGGCCGAAACTGGACAAACCCTGGCGACGTTCTGAAAAACGAAAAAGTCGTGTCAGTATCCGACTCGTTTTAAGACACAGAACCCTGTAAGGGTTCACAAAACATATTTTTTTGAAAAAAATAAGAGACTATTTGATCTATTTGGCCTCAAGAAATTGACACGCTACTGCGGCGACAGAAAAATTTTATCATAATCGTGGGACTGTGAAAGATCCGGCGGGATATTTATGACGTACCAATCTGGGCACGCACACACACACACACACTTGTGGATGTCGTTAAAATTTCCTGGTGACAACTTTCAGAACATTAGGTTGCCATTGTTCAATTCGCAAGGGCACTCGATCACCAGTTTGTAGAATTGAAGTAGTGGGAGTACTGGGAGTGGTGGGAGTAATGGGAGCAGTGGAGGCAATGGGAATAGTGCGAGCGGGAGTGGGGGTTGGAATGGGTGTGGGTGTGGTGGGGTGCGGTGGGGTGTGGTGGGTTGTGGGTTAGTACAAAAACGGCGCGAGTGTTGTGGGGGCTCCAAAACGTGCATCAGCCAATTATTGGTAGGGGTAGGGATAATAAATTGGCGACACATTTCTGCAATGAATACATCGCATTCACCTAAAGCTAACAATGCAATTGAAGGAACTCCAAGCTTGCCCCCAGCCACTTCGCTGCCACAGGCCCAAACCCAATCCAATTTGGTTGTCTTGCAGTTCGGTGAAATTACTACTTTCATCTCCTTTCAGACTATGTGTAAGAACAGGTATCGGTAAGTGGGTGATCTACTATCGGTTTTGCCAGTTGCAACGCGAATTTGACTATCCGACATCCACTCGTGGCTACTTTGGTCTTCAGCCATTTTTGTCAGTTCCTCATATACATCCGTTTTTTGATTCTACCGGCATGTGCGACTTCTTTGGCTCATAGTCATCCCTGACGGTTTCCACCGAGCACAGAAGATGACACGTCCTGGACTTTCTTCGCCAGGCCCTCGGAAGTCGGAGTACTGCCCAAGTTGAAAAACTTGAGCTCCTGTGCCGTAGTTCAAAATGGAGACATCGCCCGAAGCCACACAAGGCCCACTGAATTGTGAGTCAACCACTGACATCCACTGATCCGAAATTGAAAACGCCAAAGGCACTTTTCATGGAAAAAATATCGAGTTGTGGACAAATGTCTATGGTTAGCCTTCACACCATCATGTCAACAACATCATCACGCAAGAGGTGAAACAGTTCAGCAATTCGGGGGGGAAACCATGGAAGCGTGCGAATCTTTGCATTTTTACCGGGGCAGTGACTCCTGGGTTCGGGAAGGTCGGGTGTTTCCGTGGTTTCGGGATCTGAAAAAGCTGTTGACAAAAAGCGCATGAGGCTGCAGCGAGAGCTCGCTGTCCACAATTCAAGTGTTAAACAACTGCGTGCTCCGACCACTTTTGGTCGGAAAAATGCACACTATAGACTGTAGTAGCGAGAGCTTGATTTCACGAAAAAATGCAAAAAAAACTCCGGCATTCGAACCAGCCGGATTTGGAAGATGGAGGAGACAGGCCTGATAAGTCTTGGGTGGAGACTATCCCGAGCCCAGGCGACTATGAGAAGAAAAAGAGGAAGAGAAAGAATAAGAAGTCCAAACGGGGACAAACACAAGAGCAGGAGGAAGAAGACTCCACGATGGAGAAGCCAGAGACTCGGGGCACCGAACCCAACATCTGGTTTGAGGGGCGATCATCACGAAGCTATGAAGGCCGGGCAGGCAGGCAGCTCGCAAGCAGTATACTGTGGAGGGCTCGGAGAAGCCCGAAGAAGAATCTGAGGTACCTGCTAACCATGAGAAATGGCCAAGCTGGGAAGGGATCCCAAAGGCATTCATTCATTCATTCATTCATTTCATTTCATTTCATGTTATTTCATTTCATTTCATTTCATTTCATTTCATTCGTTCATTATTTCTTTCATTTCATTTCATTTCATTTCATTCGTTCATTATTTCTTTCATTTCATTTCATTTCATTTCATTTCATTTCGCTTCGTTTCATTTCATTTCATTCACTCATTCATCCATCCATCCATCCATTCATTCATGTCATTTATTGCATTCATTTCATTCATTTTATTCACTTCATTCATTTCATTCATTTCATTCGTTCAATCTTTCATTCATTCATTAATTTCATTCTTTCATTCATTCCTTCCTGCCTTCCTTCCTGCCTTCCTTCCTTCAGTCATTCATTCATGTAGTTAGTTCATTCATTCTTTCAGGCGTTCGTTCAAGCAATCAGCGCCACATTCATTCAGTCATTCGTTCATTCATTCTTTCATGTCATTTCATTAGCATGTCAACAATCCATTGCCCATTCGTTGATGCACCTCACAACCTCAAAATGTCATTACTTCTGCATCTCACAGGCATTACGCCATTGATTTCTTATAGCCATTTGTTTCTCGAAACTTCCGCCCGGCGGGGCTGCGCACTATCTGGTAGGGGATGCTTTGCTTGCAAAACTTGTAACGTCGCTTTTGAGCACTGTGCTTGCCTATCTGGCAAACTGTAAAGCTGCCAAGAAGAAGGTGATTGTAAGACGTTTGGCTGCAGGTCAAGTCGTCTGCAGGTCAAGTTGTCTGCCATTTAGGTTCAAGAAAATGGGATTGGAGGGGACATTATATGGGAAAAGTCATTCGAATACAACCACAAGTCCGACCTTCTTACCACCCATCGCACTGCGGTAGAAGAGTGCACTCGCAGTCATAACGATCATGATGCCAATGGCTACAGCAATGCCGCTCAGCATAGCGGTCGAGACCGCAGTGGCAAAGCCATACATAGTCTCATCCTCAGACGCTCAAGCAAGCATCGTGAGAATCAAGCTTGATGGCAGACAGCAATGCTTGAAAAATGGCTCTACTAATCCCAAAGATCCACTTGCTGCGCCAAGTTCAAGCTTGAGTGAATGCTGAAACTATAAATTGATTTGAAATCAGGTTTGCGATTTACTATCGGGCCGCGAATCATGCTACCTGCCGTGCGAGAAAGTTTCAATCTTGTTGAGGTAGAGCGCAGAGCAGGTCACGAGCAACACGATGCAGAAGGAGAGGATGCAGTCGGTCGCATTCAGCATTGGCACCTGCAAGGTTTCGGGACTGAAGCGGCTTTTGGCTTGGGGCCCGCGCTTTTTGTGGCGCGCGATCCGATCGGGTTGTGAAAAAAGGCAGACTTTTGTTGACAAGTTCGACACTTTGGTATATAATCCCTACTTTGGTATGGTTGCCTAACCGACTTGTTAGTGGAACCGCACCAAAGGATGGGTCTCTAGGAGGGGCCGGGCCACAATTGCTCACGCTGGCAGCAACCTGCACTTCATCGAAAAAAATCCGACCGAGGATTGCGAGCATTGCAACACATGCATGTTTTTTTTCCGACTGGCATGGCTAACTCATTGAAAAACCTTGCAGGGAACAGTACTAGAACCCCTACCTATGCCACAACATCGAAGACTCAAAAGCAAAACTGCAAAGAGACTCATTGCGTCGCATCTTTCTCACCGACCGCGCGAATTAACACACATGAATCAGCTCCCAAGCGCTCTCTTTTCTTAGGACCCTTTCTGTCGACATTTGGCCATAGCCACTAGCCACCTGAAATTGGGTACTTGTAAGGACCCACAAAAAGCTGACCATTTTCAGGATCTCAAAACATCCAGTTCTGGGACTAGCTTTGGGCCATGCCATTTGAGCGCCAGCATGAGCCCAGGGTGCCTTCCATGGCCAAGCCAACATCTGCATCACCTCGGAAATATCCAATGGATTTCAGTGGCATGTCCTTTTTTGGGATGCATGTTCCTGTGCCTGTTACACTTGGGACACGCCAAAAAAGAAAAACATTTTTCCAAACACAGACTGCCACGCTGTCAACAAAACCCCGATGTCAATTTCATGTTGTTGGTTTACTTTTAACAACATAAAAGTCCCTGCGTTTGGTTCCACAAGCACCAGCGAACAGAGTAAATTGAGTAAATGATCATCCAAAAAGTGACGCAGGGAACAAGGGGAACAAGCAGGCACAGATGTCTCAAATTAGAATTACCACAATAACTTTGAAAACTACAACATACTTCAAAACACATATCAATTTGAAATTGGGTTCAAACCACAACTAATTTCGAACTACAAGTAGCTTATAAACGCAGCTAACGGCAAATTACATTTTTGCAAATTAAATCTAACTCGGGCACAAAAAAACTTCAAACCAAGACCAACTTCAGGTCACAACTAAATTCAAAAACATACTCACTTCACTAGTTTTGCAAACACCATCAATCAACTTCAAATTACATCTCACTTGCATTAGCCATGAAAACCTCCAAAACCCAAACCGCAACAAAGTAACTTCAACTGACAAGTTGGTTGACATCACGTTCAGTTCCCCTTCGGATTTCACTTGCAACGACCAGAACCATCAAACAGAATTGTCACAACAACAACACCAACAACAACAACAACAACAACAACCACTACTACTACTACTACTACTACTACTACTACTACTACAACTACAACTACAACTACAACTACAACAACAACAACAACAACAACTACTACTACTACTACTACTACGACCACTACTACGACCACTACTACGACCACTACTACGACCACTACTACGACCACTACTATGACCACTACTACGACCACTACTACGACCACTACTACGACGACAAGGACGACGACGACTACGACTACGACTACTACTACTACTACTACTCCTACTCCTACTACTACTACTACTACTACTACTACTACTACTACTACTACTACTACTACTACTACTACTTCTTGGACGTCTACTTCTACTTCTACTTCTACTTCCACTAGCTAGCTAGCTGGCTAGCTAGTAAGCGGACGAACGAACGATCGAACTAACCGCCCAACCAACCAACCGACCGACCGACCGACCGAACCAAGCAACAAACCAACGAATTAACTAATTAACTAACAAACTTACCAGTTAACTAACTATCGAACTAACTAACTATCTATCTAGCCAACTAACTAACTAACTATCTAACTAACTAACCAACTAACTAACTAACTAACTAACCAACCAACCAACAGACTAACTAACTACTTGGTACACGGCTCACAGGCGGCCGTGAGGAATTCAGCACACCAGCAATGCTGAGCATTTGTTTTCCTGCTGATTTACAGTGGTCAGAGCATTCCAGTCCATTTTGGATCTTTCACGCAGCCGTGCCATTGGTTAAAGCGGCTTCATCTCGTAATTAGATGGGAAAAATATGTTTCTTAGTCATTTTGCAATGCAGTCAAACTATTTGTTTCAGCGGATGAAGCCGTCATTGAAAGTCATGATATTTCTTCAGCAGATCGACAAGAGAATATCTTGTAAGGCGGGCAGCCAAGAACGTTATCAGCCCCCCCCAAAACCCCCCCCAAGAAACAACAATGCAAAAATCAAGAGTGTCTTGCAAGTTACAAGAAGAAGTTGATAGCGTGTGCCAGGGTACGGTGCAAGAGAAGAGTGGATAAGGTAGCAGCAAGTCCAAGAGAATATCTGTAAGGCGGGCAGCCAAGAACGTTATCAGCCCCCCCAAAACCTCCCCCAAGAAACAACAATGCAAAATCAAGAGTGTCTTGCAAGTTACAAGAAGAAGTTGATAGCGTGTGCCAGGGTACGGTGCAAGAGAAGAGTGGATAGCGTAGCAGCAAGTCCAAGAGAATATCTTGTAAGGCGGGCAGCCAAGAACGTTATTAGCCCCCCCAACCCCCCCAAGAAACAACAATGCAAAAATCAAGAGTGTCTTGCAAGTTACAAGAAGAAGTTGATAGCGTGTGGCAAGGTACGTGCAAGAGAAGTGATAGCGTAGCAGCAAGTCCAAGAGAATATCTTGTAAGGCGGGCAGCCAAGAACGTTATCAGCCCCCCCAAAATCCCCCCCCAAGAAACAACAATGCAAAAATCAAGAGTGTCTTGCAAGTTACAAGAAGAAGTTGATAGCGTGTGCCAGGGTACGGTGCAAGAGAAGAGTGGATAGCGTAGCAGCAAGTCCAAGAGAATATCTCGTAAGGCGGGCAGCCAAGAACGTTATCAGCCCCCCCAAAACCCCCCCCCCAAAGAAACAACAATGCAAAAATCAAGGGTGTCTTGCAAGTTACAAGAAGAAGTTGATAGCGTGTGCCAGGGTACGGTGCAAGAGAAGAGTGGATAGCGTAGCAGCAAGTCCAAGAGAATATCTCGTAAGGCGGGCAGCCAAGAACGTTATCAGCCCCCCCAAAACCCCCCAAAACCCCCCAAAACCCACGGCCGTCTATAAGCCGTGGTCCAACTACTTGGAAAGCGGCGGATAGAACGCCGCCTGTTTTTCCAACTGTTGCGAGTTCACTTTCCCTGTGTTTTCTCAGGGATTTTTGCTTTCGTCCATTTTTTGGACCCTTTCAAATCCTGCGAAAAACTACTTCGTTTTTGCAATGTTTTATGTGTAAGTGTTCATTTCTTTTTATCACAAGCTTGGCAGGACGCGAGTTTAATTTTGATACACTTCGATAGGACTGGCGCCAGGTGCCGAAATTCTGTACAACCATTGTTTGATCAAAGTATCGATTTCAGGGTGCAGCTTGGAACCAAAGGTTCCCTTGAGTTTTCGAGGGAAAGTTTTTCCAATGAATTCCTTTAAACTTCTCCAGTGGCGATCAATGCATTGAGTTCCTGCGACCTGCGACAAGTGCTTGGGAATGGTGCGCAAGAGCTTGGCGTAGACCTTGTCCTGGTGGACAACTTGACGAGCGTAACATCAAGAGCGTGTCGGAAGTTCCTAGAGAAAAGTGCAGAGCGTCACAGCAAGAGCGTGTCAAAAGTTCCTAGAGAAAAGTGCAAGGCGTAACATCAAGAGCGTCTTAGAAAGGAGCATGTTCCACGCACTCGGAACAGGACGTTAATACCCCACCCCACCCCACCCCAACCCATCAAAACAGCAAGAAAGCGTGACAAAAAGTAGAGGAGAAACAGAAAAACGCAGAAAAGCAGGCGGCGTTCTATCCGCCGCCTACCAACTACTTAGCTCGCTTGCAAGCTAGCTACCTAGCTACCTAGCTACCTAGCTACCTAGCTACCTACGTACCTACCCATCTAACTACTTAAATACCTAAGCAACTAAACTAACTAGCTAGCTAGCTAACTAACAAACTAACTAGCTAGCTAGCTAACAAACTAACCAAACTAAACTAAGAAAAACTAAATTAAAGTCTTTTACTTACATGCATGCTAACTTACTTACTAATACTAACTACTACTAACTACTACTAACTACTACTAACTACCACTGACTACTACAAACTACTACTAACTACTACTAACTACCACTGACTACTACAAACTACTACCAACTACTACTAACTACTGCAAACTACGAACTACTACGGACTACTAACTACTGCTAACTATTGCTAACTACTACTAGCTACTAGGAACTACGAATAACTACGACTTACTTTACGACTAACTACGACTACCTACGACTGACTACCAATAACTACAACTAACTACGACTAACTACTACTGACTACGGCTAACACCGACTAACTACAACTAATTACAACTAACTACGACAAATATGACTACCTGCAACTAACTACGACTAACTATACGACTAACTACGACTAACTACGACTAACTACGACTAACTACGACTATATAACTAGAACTAACTACGACTAGCTACGACTAGCTACGACTAACTACTACTAACTCCTACTAACTGCTAGTACCTGCTACTAGCTACTGCTAGCTACTGCTAGCTACTACCAGCTACTAGTAGCTACTAGTAGCTACTACCAAATACTACTAACCACTACTAACTACTACTAAGTAAAAGGTTCGTGTCATCTTTGAAGCACTTTGATCAGTTGCCAAGTAGCAAAATCCTCACGCTGGCCATGCAAAGTGGCAATGAAGGATAAAATTGGCATAATACTGTCTGTGCATGGCATCTTTTGCGGTCACAAAAACGACTTCTCTTTTGACTGTTGAATGTGTTTTTTGTTTGGGGACGGGCATGCTGATTTTCCATCCTATATATGTTCATCATGTTTCACTGATACCAATAAGGAGAAAGCGTTGCAAAGTCCCATCAGTATGTCAGAACATCACATGACGAACACATAACAAAGCCCCATCATGATGCATAACATCATGAACGCGTTACAAGTCCCATGATTACGTCAAGAGAACGTCCAGTAGCGTAGCGTGACGTGTGCATGCGTGGTACTGCAAGAGACCGTCCAGTAGCGTAGCATGACGTCTGTGTGCACATGCAAGAAAACTTTTCCACTTTAGCATGACGTGTGTGTGTGTGTTTGCGCGTGTGCAAATCCAATTGATGCTATTCCCCACCACAACCCCCCAGCTAAAAAGGACACCAAAAAAAAGAAAACCAAGAAAAAATGCATGTCGTTGAGTCGAGACGCACAAAAGCTAAATTTTAAAAAACTCACAAAGTGACGCCAAACACCTAAAACTAAAACAACAAAAACATTGTTTCATTACGCGGCCTTCAACGCTCGCCCAGCCAGCTACTACTAAATACGACTAAATACTATACTAACTACGACTAACTACGATTAAATACGACTAACTACGATGAACTACGACTAAATACGACTAACTACGACTGACTACAGCTAACTACTACTTACTACTACCTAGGACTAACTACGACTAACTCAGACTAAGTACGAATAACTACGACTACCACGACGACTACCACTACGACTACCGTGGTGAGTGTCATAAACATGAGATAAATCTGATGGAGGCATGTCTGATTTAGATTGTTGTGAGTGTGATAGGTTTGATAGAGATAAGTCTGACAAGTGTAAGCTTTTTCTGGGGAAGGGAAGAGGAAAGCACGGGAGGCGGTGGGCAGCAGGATGCAAGACCAACAGGAACCCCACACTAAACTAAGATGGGAAATAAAAATCAACCGAAGGACCATCATTGTGGTCAGAATCATCGCAATACACACCACCTGGATTGGTGGAAAGTCTGTTGCCAGCACCACCGGCAAATTGATCAATGGCCCGCGAATCAGCAGCGGCACTCCAAACCACCATGAATCGAGCCTGAAGCGCATGTGTCACTGCCCCATCCTAACACGGGATAGAGGCAAAGAGAGGAGGGATTAACCTCCGAAGCCATGGCACAGCACCGTCGCCACCGCTGGACTTGGGGGGCCTCCACATAGGTGGCCAAAATTGAGAGGCACCAAGAAGAGGAGCGTCAAAATTGCGCAGAGCATCCAAAACGAATTCGGAAACGAATTCAGAAACGAATTCAACCAAAACGAATTCACAAAAGTTGGCAGGAGCCACACAGGCTCTCTTTTCTGTTCAACTTGCAGCCACACAGGTTGCACTTTTTTGACATCTTTCTTTTTAAGGGCTCTTGTCGGCCTTTCAGTTTCCACCGGGGGACCAAAAACAACACAGTGACTGGCCCATCTCACAAAGCTCTTCTTCACAATGTTGCTAGGACTACCAAGTGTGAGACGAGAGTTTTGTTCCACCAAAACAATTTTAGCCTCAAGGGGTCTTGCCGGCATCTTCTGGGGCCGATTTTCTTTGCTCGACTGGAAAACAACAGCATTGTCAGGAGTCATCCAATAAAGAAACAGCCTAAAGACATGCAAGAGGTGTGAAACGCGGATGGACAGTAAGATCCTACTCACTCGGCCTGCGCAAGTCTGCATCCGCACGCAGCAGCATTTGCTCCAGGTGTCGGCAGTCCGCAGCAGCGTCCGCAGCCGCTGCAGGCGCAAGCGCCAGCGCCAATGCCACTCGCCAGCGCCAATGCGGGTAGTGACCTGAGTATGACCAGACGGCTCCTTAGTATGACCAGACAAGATGGCTGTGCCACCACCTCGGATCACACGGGCGTGCTGAAGTCGGACCCTTTGCATTCTATTGATGACTTCAGCTTCTCGAATTTTCCCCATTTGTCGGAGAAGGGACAGAGATTGGGAAACTGTAGTTTCATGGCTCCATCCAAGTCTGCGAACAAGCGGACAGGATGGAGGGCTGTGGACCCTCAAATGAGCATATCTATCACAGTTCCAAAGCACATGTTCCAAGGTCGGGTGCTGCGCCTGACCACAGTCGGGACAGCACATGTTTCCCGCTTCATCCACAATTTCTTGAGTACCTCCCCACCTTGTGCTGGCGGCAGTATGCATTCCACCAGTGACAACCGCTTTCTCATGAGGGTTACTGAGTTGTTTGTAAACTTTACGTAAGGTATCAATAAGACCATCATGAATGTTCTCGTCAAGTCCCACAGTAAGCGCGACTCGCGCATCGTTTCTATCCGAATCAAGCCAAGCAAGTAAGTTTGCCTTCCTCCAACTTTGCCGGAGGTGGTGCAAAGAAACCGCGCGTTGTTCTTTGGGCATGGTGATCTGAAAGTGCACTTCCCTGGGCACTGCCCAGTGTCCCCAGTCCTGTTCCTGCCATCCCCAAGTGTTGAGGTGCTTTCGAACAGCTCTCCAGACATCTGCCGAATTGCGTTGAAAACTGCGAGTGAGGCTGCTATCAGGGACTCTATATTTGTACCAACGCGCCAGCGCGCTCATGTACTTAGTCACCACGACAAATATCAGATCCGAGCCGTGACCCAAATCTAGTATTTGCCTGAGGTGAGGAGAAGACCTGTTCTGAGCTTTGCTTTGAGAATCACTGCTAGAGGGATTCTTTATGCCAAAAACAGCCAACTTGAAGTTTTGCAGGTGCTGGTCTTGCGCCGCTCTGAGGAGCTGAGTTTTGGTGACGTCCTGTCCCCAGGCAGCAGTGCTGGTGAGCAGGCTCATGGCGAGCTGGCTTTTAAGGGTTTGGGGAATGGGAAGCGTGGCTATCTTTCGCGCCACTGTTTTTCCATTTTCGACACGGGCCAGCCTCTTGGGGTGCTGCTCAGGGTTGGCGCCCAAATAATAACCCAAGACTTCAACTTCGTTCTTGACAGGAAATTCAAAGTGCTGTTCTCTCAGGTATTTCGCAGCCGCTGCAGTTCTGCCCCAGAGCTGGGACTTCTGGTGATTGGTACTGAGTCTGGTGACTTGGGACAAACGATCCCAATCAGCTGCAGCTTCAACTAACTTCTCAACGTTGCCGCTAGTCAAGGTTCTGTCGTCCAGATAGAGCGCACATTTCACCATAGGGAAAAGCCTGATGCATCTTTTGGCTGGGCAGGACAAAATAAGGGCCAAGGTGAGCGGGGAAAAGGGGTCTCCCTGCGGCAGACTAGGGACTTTGGTCAACGGTTCAGCATGAATTGCACCAGCGAAACTTAACCAGCGCGTTTGATTCCTCCATTGGCTGGAGAGCAAACCAAGCACGTTCTGAGGGAGACCAACCCGTTTGAGGAGGTGAAGGCCCAGCTCGGTGTTCACGCTGTCGAAAGCCTTTTTGTAGTCTAGTGCCAATCCATACTGAAAGGAGGAGGCCGGACATTCTCCCCGCAAGACAAGGTGAATGACTTCAGGGTCAAGCTGCGTAGTGGCTTGAAGCGGGGCCAGGTGTTTCTCGACCACCTCATTGCATTGTTTGATCCGGCAGCGGGCCCAAAGTCGGTACAGAATAGACGCCACACTAATGGGTCTCATCTGGTCTGCACTCACCCCTTCAGGAGCATTGCCTTTAGGTATGAAAACAACTTTCCAGTGCTGCACTGCAGAAGGAAAGGTTTGCAGCGTTTCAAACCGATTAAGCATCTGAGTGATCCTTTCCCAGCCATCATCTGGGAGTGTCAAGAGGTGTTGAGCCGAAATACCGTCAGGGCCCGTGGCTTTGTTGGCCATGGTAGCAGCCATGTTACGCGCCTGCCACTTATTTAGTTTGGGGAGCGTCTGAGCCTGAGTCTCCTCGGGGAGGTCATCTTTGTACATCCGGCAAAAATGTTGGGGGTCAGCGTCTGCATCAGTATCGCACCCAAAAATCGCTTTCCAGACATTGTGAATCACCTTAAGACACGCAACCCTGCCAGCCACCCCCCCTTTCAGCAAAAATTGAGGGGGACAGCTTTGTTTGATCCATTTCGTGGCTTTGGACAGGTTGGACATCTCGTTCGTCCAAGCTTCTTGTTTTGTTTTGGTCTTCTGTTTAAGAACCTCATCCAGTCTGCCCAAAAATTCCATCTCGACAAGCGTCCATTGCTTATTCAAAACCAGATGACGTTTGCAAGGTTCCAGACTTTTAGCTATGTTGTTTACAAGACCCCTAGAGACTGGCGCACCTTTGCGGGAAAGAAAGGCAGCTTCACGTGCTCTCCTGATGCCACGTCGTAATTCCCTTTCCCTGTGAGTCTGCCCCGGAGCCCCATGATGCCCACCGGACACCAGAGTGGGGACAGCGCCTATGAGAGGAAAGCGTTTGGCTGGGATGACCTGCTGGGTGCTAACCAAGAAGCTTTCAAAATCCTGAGTCCATTGTGTCCAAATCGCTTCGCTGTCCTGTTGGAGGCAATTGTGCCATTCCTCCTGAGAGCAGACACTGTTGACCCAAAACTTCTCTTTGTCCTGAAATTCGTTTTCCAGACCTGCATTCTGAGTTTGCCTATTTTGGCGAAAAATCCAAATGGTGGAATCACCAGGTGGTGTGACCCACGTTCCCTGGAAGGAGGCCCAGGCGATGCTGTGGTCATTGCCAAAACTTTGTTGTTCCCCACCAATCAATTGAGCGAACATTTCGGAGGCAAAGACCCCATCGATAGGATGCTTACTGGTAGTGTGTCTAGCAGTGCCAACGAGGGTCCCAAAACCTAGGCTGCGAACATCAGCATTGAAGTCACCGCAGCAAACCCAGGGGGTGTTATCGAGCCCAAGCATAGGATGAGAGATGGAAGGATCCCAACAGCCGGGTCGTTGATACACATTAAACAAGCTCCAAGGTCGGGTGCTGCGCCTGACCACAGTCGGGACAGCACATGTTTCCCGCTTCATCCACAATTTCTTGAGTACCTCCCCACCTTGTGCTGGCGGCAGTATGCATTCCACCAGTGACAACCGCTTTCTCATGAGGGTTACTGAGTTGTTTGTAAACTTTACGTAAGGTATCAATAAGACCATCATGAATGTTCTCGTCAAGTCCCACAGTAAGCGCGACTCGCGCATCGTTTCTATCCGAATCAAGCCAAGCAAGTAAGTTTGCCTTCCTCCAACTTTGCCGGAGGTGGTGCAAAGAAACCGCGCGTTGTTCTTTGGGCATGGTGATCTGAAAGTGCACTTCCCTGGGCACTGCCCAGTGTCCCCAGTCCTGTTCCTGCCATCCCCAAGTGTTGAGGTGCTTTCGAACAGCTCTCCAGACATCTGCCGAATTGCGTTGAAAACTGCGAGTGAGGCTGCTATCAGGGACTCTATATTTGTACCAACGCGCCAGCGCGCTCATGTACTTAGTCACCACGACAAATATCAGATCCGAGCCGTGACCCAAATCTAGTATTTGCCTGAGGTGAGGAGAAGACCTGTTCTGAGCTTTGCTTTGAGAATCACTGCTAGAGGGATTCTTTATGCCAAAAACAGCCAACTTGAAGTTTTGCAGGTGCTGGTCTTGCGCCGCTCGGAGGAGCTGAGTTTTGGTGACGTCCTGTCCCCAGGCAGCAGTGCTGGTGAGCAGGCTCATGGCGAGCTGGCTTTTAAGGGTTTGGGGAATGGGAAGCGTGGCTATCTTTCGCGCCACTGTTTTTCCCTTTTCGACACGGGCCAGCCTCTTGGGGTGCTGCTCAGGGTTGGCGCCCAAATAATAACCCAAGACTTCAACTTCGTTCTTGACAGGAAATTCAAAGTGCTGTTCTCTCAGGTATTTCGCAGCCGCTGCAGTTCTGCCCCAGAGCTGGGACTTCTGGTGATTGGTACTGAGTCTGGTGACTTGGGACAAACGATCCCAATCAGCTGCAGCTTCAACTAACTTCTCAACGTTGCCGCTAGTCAAGGTTCTGTCGTCCAGATAGAGCGCACATTTCACCATAGGGAAAAGCCTGATGCATCTTTTGGCTGGGCAGGACAAAATAAGGGCCAAGGTGAGCGGGGAAAAGGGGTCTCCCTGCGGCAGACTAGGGACTTTGGTCAACGGTTCAGCATGAATTGCACCAGCGAAACTTAACCAGCGCGTTTGATTCCTCCATTGGCTGGAGAGCAAACCCAGCACGTTCTGAGGGAGACCAACCCGTTTGAGGAGGTGAAGGCCCAGCTCGGTGTTCACGCTGTCGAAAGCCTTTTTGTAGTCTAGAGCCTGAAGCGCATATGTCACTGCCCCATCCTAACACGGGATAGAGGCAAAGAAAGGAGGGATTAACCTCGGAAGCCTGAAGCGGACTTTGCCTTGAAGCCCCCCTTGAAGCCCGCCTTGAAGCCCCCCTTGAAGCCCCCCCTTAAGCCCTCCCTTAAAGCCCCCCCTTAAGACGCCCCTTAAGCCCCCCCTTAAAACCCCCCCTTGAAGCCTTCTTAGCCTCCCTTAAAGCCCCTCCTTAAGCTCCCCCCCTG